TCTTAAAGTCAAGTCACTTTCGGGCTCCAGAGAGGCGCGATGTCCAGTGCCTGGAGCTCCATTCAGCGAGGACAGCTGCTCGGTGCGCGAAGCTACGATACCAACACCTCTGCCCTGTCACCATTGCCACCATTAGAAGTGTCACCATCTCAACATCAGCATCGCCATCGCCTGCAGCAGAGTAACGGTCATCCACCGCAGAACAGCAACGACAACTTTGTCGTCCTCCACCTCTTCCTCCTCCTCGTGACCCACGTCCTCCTCATGACCGAATCATCTCAACTACGACTGTTCACATCTGGTCCCGGCCTGCTCCCAGCACCTCCGGCACCGCAAAACTCGGCGCCTCCACGGGCGATGCTCCTGGATGAGAGGACTTTGGGCTTGCCATTATCCGGGCAAGTATGCAGAAACTTAAGACCGAGCTTCAGCTTACTTCAGACTCTGAACGTCCGGACCGCGTGACGACTGAAACGCGACCAGAGCCCACCCCTTCAATAATTTTTGGCTCCCGCATAGCAGTAGCCGAAGACTCTGCGTGGCCGGCTGTGTTTTTGCCTCGAAAGTCCTGTACTCTAAGGCCGGCATCTTTGCACATAAACTGTAAAATAATATATATTCTATTGTGTTATAGTATATCATGTTTAAATACTGAAATATTGCATCATATTATTATGACTCAGCCCAAACTCCTGCTACTGAGGTACCTCCACCAGTGCTGACTAGCATCTGTCAGGATGCGGGATAGCTTTCACGAGAACGCAGTGCTTTTAGCGCCAAAGCGACTCAATGCTCTTCAGGTTCACCCGCAGTAAGTTGATGACTCTCCGGGGTTTCACTCCTTTCCTCATCCCTGCACCATAGCCCAGGCTACACTACCCAGATTCCCTCACCCCTGTACCCTAAACCCTATAAACCCTAAAACTACCCAGATTCCCAGACCATGCAGCAAAGCAACTCGCCCGCACAGTTTTCGTGGAGCTTTTCAGCAGCGTGCCAGGCAAGGCCCGCCTTGCTTCTACATCTGTCGGGCTTCAGGGCTTTTGGGGTTTCAGGCTTAAGGTTTAGGGCTTCGGGGTTTTGGGGATTTAAGGCATGATGTGTAAGGTTCAGGGCTTCAGGGTTTTTGGGGTTAAGGCTTAAGGTTTAGTCTGGCAATGAATTTTCAAACTTCTGGTGGACAAAGGTTCAAGAACGATAAGCTTGGCCACGAAATGCAGATTCTAGGAGCACCCCATACCTGTATACCTTTGACATTATACATCTTTACCTCCGTTCCAAGTCCTCATTGCAGGGAAGCAGCGGTGCAGGAAGTGTGATCCCCACAGGCCCCACATCGAGGACGTTCTCACGGCCGGCCAAAGCCACATCGCGGCGTTTTCTCCTTGGCTCCATCGGAGCTCACCCGATTCGTTTGTCCACGTAGGCCTTGCGGCCTTACCCCACAAGCCCCGGCAGAACCCCGATCCTTGCCGCCTGCCTCACACTTCCCTTTGCAGACACGCGGCGACATGGCTGCCAGATCTGTGCCACCTGGGCAGGAAGGCCAGGCAGGCCGGCTTGTGGGTCCAAGCGTTTTTGCTCGAAGCTCGACACCCTGTACATACCCATGGGCCCTAAAGTATTTCCTTTTTTGGGGTTCATATATAGAATCCTATAACTTTTTGGGGTTCATATATAGAATCCTACAAGGTAACCCCAAAAAAGGAACTACTATGGGGCCTATGGGTAGACCCTACACTTCTCCGCATGCTGTCGCACGGCCGGGCGTGGACTTGCGGACGCGGCCTGCTCGCCTCTGTGCCTTGGCACAGAAGAGAAACACTTAGGCTAGGGTTTAGGGTTTAGGGTTTAGGGTTTAGGGTTTAGGGTTTAGGGTTAGGTCTCAGGATTTCTGTAAGGCTTCGAGAGTTGCGAGCAGCTCTTGGGCCGCGGTTTTTCTGCGTGACTCTTGGGCTTTACTTCGGAGGGCACAGGTTTGGTCGGAAAGCCTGCAAGCACTCTTTGGTTGATTTCTTTGTTGAGTTGTCACCACCGCCACGGCTAGAGACATCGCAGGATACCAAGACATGGTATGTGACTCTCCGCCGAAAATTTGCCCGAGAGAGGCCTGAGGTACTTTTCAACCGATCTTCGCTTTCTTATGTTTGAAAACCCTTCCTTTCTTGTACTTTGTTTACACCACATTTAAGGCACTCAACAACGAACGAGCTCCTTGCAGCCTTGCCCTGCCTCGGGAAAGTGCACATCCGGAAGATCCATGTTGATGTCCACCTCACCTAGCACGCACACACACACACACACAAACACACACCCCTCTAAAACCGGCTCCTCCTCCGAGACCTGTCGTACCCTGGCTAATTGTGAAGCTGTCTCTTACCAGAGGTGTTTGGGATTACACAGTTTTTAGACATCAGCCCGATATTTGATATAAGGGTATCCAGGCTTAACAGCCCCCAGAATCCGGAACCCACCCGGGACACACAAATTGAAATCGAAGCTTAACCGTTTGAAGTTCTAGATAGTTTGCGAGCATCCCTCAAGGCAATCACCCTGGGGCTGCAATACTCTGAACCCAGGCACAGTCGGACGCGCAGGTGATTTTTCAATTAAGACGTCACCCACTGAACCCGAAACCCGCTTTGTGCCGCTTCATCCCTTGAGTGGGTTTCGTGAATAACACCTGCAGACTCGATTGAGGAACCCCGTAGCTCCATGGTCGTGTGCTTAATTCTGGGCTATGCAAGTCTCAACTTGGAGATCTGCAACAACGCAGCAACAGCACGATGGACAAACACGTCAACATCACAGGCCGAGACTGACTCCTTCTCTTAGCACAGGACATCTAAGGCTCAGGGCTTTGAGCTTCTATTGCTTGGTCTTCTTAGTTTTCTTACCCTGAGAACTTTTGCTTGGTTTTTTGACACTCACACTCGGACAAGCCTGGCAAGGTCCACCACGATACCTTCTTCAAGAAGCGTTAACAGACGCCACAAAGTAGGTTTCACTTTGAAGCTCGCTGTCAAGTAGGATAGAGACAAGAAAACAGCAAGTGCGCAAGCATGTTTACGCTCTCACAACTCGGACAAGCCAGGCGAGGTTCCACGGGTTTGGGTCGGCGTGATACAGGTTCTTGGTTTAGGGTTTAGGTGTTTGGCCCGACTTCCCCAAGCCGAAGCCCCGTGCACCTGGTAGGCGCGGCAGCCTCGTTTCGTTGCGCGGCGCAGAGCTTGGTACAATGCCCAAGGGCCTCACATCGGGCTTGACCCAATGCAGGGAACTTAATAACTAGATAATGAGTCTTGGGGTATATGACAATAAACTTATACTAAGGAGCACCTGGGGAACGATACTTGTGATTATTCGGCTTAACGGTAGGTCGTTCAAGGTTGGGTCTAAGAGGCCAAGAGACCCTGAACCCTATACATCCTTAGTAAGAGGCCACCCTGAGACTTCTCCTGGAATTCACAAAGCACCGAACACGAATGGGGCATTCTTCCAACACTCCAGGTGGCTGATGGCCCTCATCTGACATCCACATCCTGCGACTCACAAGCTGGCATCTGGATCAAACGAGGCTAATCTTCGCCCTGGGTCTGGACGCTGAGGTGGCACGCGCACCGGTACGTGAGTGCTTGCGGTTTACATCGCTTCCCATGGTGCCTGCAAGATTTGTAGAATGCTTACAGTCTATGGCAGTTGCATGGGCTACGAGCCCTCCGACATCTGGTCCTGTCCATGACCAGGCTTGAAGCCCTGGGCCTGTGCAGTTCAGATCACTGCTGGTCGGAGCCGTCGAGTTTCTCCCTGCATCTGTGAGGATCCTCTCCTCGCAGAAGGAAAGCCAAAAAAGGTTAGAATCTTTTGCTTTCCTTCACACGCTCCATTCAATGTGCGCATGAAGCTACTGGGGCCCCCATCACCCGACGAGTAGACCCCAAACCGTGGCATAAACCCGTCAACTCCCAAGGCCTCAGGCCCAAATTCGGCTAAACCCTGACTAACCCTAAAAACCCTGAGCCCTAAACCTCTAACCCTAAACCCTAAACCCTGAACCGCGTGCCTGTGCCGCACTATCCAGCCCACTGCTGCTGCTACAGTCGTCTGAGCCGAAAGATGCCAAGAGCTGCGTCAGAAAGAGAACGCTCAATCCAGTCGACATAACGCTATGGTTATCTAGTCTGATACTGACTATAGAGATGTATCATATTGAGTTTAAGAACCTTGACAACCAGAATTCATAATATCATAGAAATAGGTGTAATGAGTGTAAGCAGGACGAGTAGGGGTAGATATCAGGTACCACAGCTGGTCGGACATCGCACCCTGCAGCAACGCAAGAATGGGCCTTGGGAACAGGTAGACACCCTTCTGTCGACGGCTCGAGGGCTCGAGTGTTGGGAAAAGCCGGAAATCATACACAAGCCAGAGTTGACCCTGCCTCCACGGCGGAATGGCACTCTGTGATGCTAAAACAGAGTCAGATCGCAAGCAACTAGGCATGTCATACGTGTGCTGTGTCTTGCCCTACTGCAGCTGTTCGATGATAGATTCGCTGCATAGACTTCCGGGCATGGAAGGGGAATGTGGCAGCCAGGTCTGCCTTTTAAGTTTCTGAAGTCATGGATCCGAAGCCAAAGCTGAGCATGCCGAGGCGTTTGAGCCGAAGCGCAAGCTCTGCCAGACGACGAAGAGCCACCTATTCCTTCCCTTGTGTCTGTACTAACAAGCAAGATAGCATCATGGCAGTGGACATCGCCCTGGCAAAACACGGAGCACCGACGCAAAGAACAAGCCTCCTACAGAGTCTTCTGGAACCAGGCAGCATGCTGCCAAACCAACCACCCGAGTCAGAACGAGCATCCTTGACTACTCTGGGAAGTCGGCAAACACGCGGAATAGCCCTAAATGCAACTCGCACTAGATCTCACTCGAAGAATAGAGAACCACTTTCTAGGGCCTCATGAACCACGAAAGCCCCCAACAGCTCGGTGGAAGGCATGTCTGCTGCAACTCCTCGACTTCGTGCTGAAGTTGCTGGCCTGGACGGTGATAAAGGCACTTGGGTCCTTCTACTTCGGGTCTGGAACGACTGGTTCCCGCGCCACCACCGAAGCGAATGACTGTTGGGTCACAACAGAAGTCCCAACTCAGTGGCATCTAGGATATCTCGTTGTAGAGAAGGCACTTGCAGCAACATGCAGCGCATGCATGTGCCTGAGCTCTACAAAAAGCCTGTGGTCACACTTTGGGTGTATGTTTGCCATGCTCAAGAATGATTTCCTTGACGCGCATCTGCAGTCGCGACCTTTTCAATCGAAGTCAGCCGGGATCGCATCCGAGCTTTGCGGATCTCCCGGCCAGCCGAAACTCCGAAGCCAGCAAACTCGCCTACCAGCTGGTCCTCGAGGCTTGGGTAAATGCCTTCCTCGCCAGTTCTGCCGAAGGAGAAGTCCCGGACTTCTCACCGTCACAGTCATCAGAACCGGACTTCAACCTCGGCCAACATGTCTTGAAGTTGGCTAGTTGCACAAGTGACTTCAGCTAGCATCTCAACTCCCTGTCTTGCGCGATGTATACAAGTATCGCTTCGATCTCTCACTGCGCTAAGGCGTTCGAAAAGGGTTCTAAATAGGTCTTCTCGTGAGGGTTCTAGTCTCTGCAATCGATCCAGGCCTCAGGCACGTGCGCCGCCGGCTATTCCGTCTCGCTCACAGGTGGCCCCAACATGGCAACGCTGCGGCCGTCCTCCTGGGCATGATTTACACTTTCATCCCGAAATCGCGAAGCCCCGGGGTCGCCACCTACGGTGGAGACTGGATGCTACTCCCTTCCCAGGAGCTGCTGCAGAAAGAAGCCAGATACAATGACACACTCAGCTTGCAAAAGTGTCAATTGCTGCTTGTGCGTTTGTAGTCGTTGGTATGTGCGCCATCGACCGAACTCGTCGTGACGTTTCGCGGATTCTGCGACCAACCAACACGCAAGCACCACGAGGTTGCGTTGAAGTCGAGTACTTCCAGCATTCCGCCTGCCGTCGCGATGGTTCCATGGCAGTTCGCTTGCCTCTGCAACAGCCCATGCATCCTGTACGCGTGCTCGGAAGCAGGCAAGTTATGCATATGAAGAGTGATAACGTCGGAAATCCAGGGCTGCCTTCTGTTTGGCAGCCCGAAGATCCATCTTTCGAGATGTTCGAGGTCACGGACCCTGAGAAAATCAAACAGTTGTGGAAGTGACTGCTTAAACTTTGCGACTTTGTGATCTGAGTGCCACGTCCCTTCTCGGCTTGCAGCGCTCTGACACAGCCGGAACCATGCCGTTCCTCCATGATTCGTAGATTCCAGATTCTTCGATTTTTCGGCTGGGTGTGCTGATGATGGACCGGCGAGCACAGGCAAGCGAGGCGTCCTGTTGCGCTGGAGCTGTGGCCCTTGCAAGTCTGTAACAACCTCTTGTGCATTCGCTCACTTTGCACAGGCTTGTTTCCACTACCCTGCGGTTCCAACACTCCTCATCGTCTTCCTCTTCGTCTTCTTCTTCACCATCCTGCAAGCACGGAGGAGCAGGAATAGAGTGTTGGGACACTAGAGCGCGATTAGTAACAACTGACACCGGCAACGTTAGCCACAACGATCGTGCGACGGTGGCTCGTCCAGTGCTGGCGCAATGACCATAGGTTCCTGGGCTTCGGAGGCTGCCCCCTGAGCATACAATATGGTACTTGGTAGGCTCGCTGGCAACAGCCCCACCTCCTCCTCCTCCTCTTCGCCCTCTTCACTCTCCTGACGAGAGTAGAGGCTACCAAGGGCCATGGGCCTAGGATGTAGCAGTGCAGCTCAAACCGAGAGCGCAAAGCCACCCGTCGCAACTTACCCTCTAAGCAAGATATCTGTCTTGAAGCTCTCCTGTGCATCGGTGAGCTCAGATCGCGAAGCCTGGGATTGCTGCAGCATGCTGCAAGCACGAAAGCTCTCCCACTTCACGCTGAACCTAAGAGGTCGTTGAAAGCCCGAGGTTCCTTCAAAGCTCCCTCAAGCTCATGAAGTACACAGGAAACACATCTGAAATCTTGCATCACTCAGCGCAGGGCCGAAAGTATCCTTGCGCTTCCTTTGCTCTGGCAAGCGGTAAGCTTCTGCTTCGCAATTGCACCATGCATCTCGCAACAAACCATAGTACCCTATAGTGGTTGCAGCGACGGCTTCAGCGCCTACTTAGTGCCTACTTTCGGTTGATTAACACGTACAACATGTTCGCAGGTATTATAAGGATCCGAACCCCCCAACATGGTACCCTTTCAGGGAACCCCCCTAAGGAGCTCCGAAACCCCGCCCAAGAAGGAATCTCCCCAAGCTCGGGCCCAGGTTCGAGGCCGCGAGCGCGCGACGCGGCGGCGCGCCTGATGCCCTCGCACTGCTGCTTGGATCCTTCTGGCCTGGTCTTTACTTAAAAGATCATGGGACTTAGTAAGTAGGGTTATAATTAGGGTAACTATACTTATAACCCCAAATCGGGGACTTATAACCTTACTTACTAAGTCCCGTGAACCTCCAAGTACACTCTCACAACTCGGACCAGCCAGGCGAGGGTTCATAGGTGCAGAGTTCGGGCCTGGTCTTTAGGGTTTGGAGTTCTTAGCAGTTGGGTTTAGGGCTTGTCGGGATGATGGGACTAGGAGTAGGCTTGAGGACATTCGACAAAGGAAAGGGGGATAATGACAGGCGAAGGCAGCCCTGAACAGATGCTCAAACAGCTAAAGCGAGTTGAGGGACCATGGGACTAGATTCCCGAGGCAGCCAGCCAATAGCACACAGATCCACAGACAGAGACACACCACACATAAAGGCGCAAAACGCAGAAGAGTCGCGGCAACCTCTGGTGGAATGGCGGGCAGACGGCTGGGCAGACGGCTGGGCAGAGCCTGGATGTGGGAATTCTTGGTGGAGGGTTCGCAAGAGTCTAGGCTTCTGAGACTGGGTGGGGGGGCTTTAGAAACTGAGTGAGGCTTTACCATAATAAACTATAAGATACTATGCTGGGGTGGCTCCGGTGCTCACGTGGTGCTGTCTTACATCGAACATTCAGCTATTCGGCAAGTACTGTCGGGGCGCCAAACCCTAAACCCTAAACTTTAATGCCCATCAGACTTCATTCAACGCAACCAACCACTAATGACCACATCTTTAATCTTGATGCAGTCGAAATTGCATGTATCTATATAAAACATACATGTACACACATGCATACACTCATACATACATTCCTTTGCAAAGACAGGGACATTCCCATACAAACATACATGGACATATACATGTGCACACATTAAAACATGTACAGTCAATGCTGTTTTGTTACTGGTTGCTTCATCGCCTTCGACTGCTCGAACTCCTCGCGCTCCTTGCAGAGGAACGCACTTTGAAAGGCTTGTAGTACTCAGGCAGATATGAACTTCTTACATACGACGGAGAAAGGTGTTCGGTGCTCAAGAACTCGGACAATCCAAGCGAGGCATGGGTCTGTAGGTCGGATGTCTCGGCTCAAGGTCGGATGTTCCGGGTTTAGGGTGTATACGAATATTTGATCAGATCTTCAACCATCTAAAATCGGGTTTCATGAGAACTGGCAATCCGTCTGGTAGACACGAATGGGGTCTTCGGAAAATTATCTAGTCTTTTTATGATCCTTCGATTTAGGATAGCCCTACGCCCTGTTTCCTTCGATCCTACACCATAGACCCTTAAACAGCCCTTAGTGTGGTCCTCCTATGTTTCAGAACTCCCAGGAACAAGCCCATTCTTCCGGCTTGCTCCTGCAGTGCATCATCTGGACCTGAGTGCATTCTTCAACCCGACTTGAAGGCACTTCCCTCCCTGTCTCCATGGGTCCATGGAGTGTCTACTCTCAGTCTCTCAGTCAACGCAGACGTCTGCGACACGAATGGGACACAGGGAGGCCTAGCCGGCCTATAGCAGCAGCTCCCATAAGTCCCAGCGGCGCTTCGCAGCCGCTGAGGGTCGGCGTTTCGCCGGAGGCACCGGGGCAGCCTCACACAGAAGGGACGACTTCAGCGGTCCAAGTTGTTGATGACTGCCTTGATGAAGATAACAGAGAAGTGAAGAGACACGACTCAACAGTGCATGTTGCAGGCCGGATCTCGCAACCTCCCGCACTTCGCAGGTGTGGGGGCCTAGGGTTGGGGCCAGAACCCTTTGAGCGAGAGCCTTGGAAGGTTGCCAGTGAAGCCCAGGCTTCGGTGACTCCTTCGATTCAGCACCCGGTGTTCTGGGAATGACGCAAGTCTCACGACCTGCGCTGCGCTGAGACAGACGCTGCAGGAGTGTGTAGAGATCACGGAACGCCAGCACGGTAGCTCATGCCTACAAGCATCGGATCTATTCTGTCCTCATCGGTCGCTCGCATCTGCAGCTTCAGCGCGGACCGGCGTGTGAAGGTCTGACGCAGGTTCCCCGACTTCGACCCAACCCATCGATCCGGAAGCGGACCACAAACCCTAACCCTAAAATCCCTAAAGGTCGAACGGAGCCTGCAAGATCTCATAAAGTATAAGTAATCTGGGTAGGCAGTTAGCATTGTGGCGAGCACATGACAAAGAGCGACGTGGACCTATTAGGGGGCTGCAAGTGCCACATGAACGTAGAGCAGCAGAGTATGCGGGGCTGCAGAAGGCCCATCCTGCTGAACTGGAATATCTCCGCATGATATCAAACACGTGGGGCCCCAGATCAACTTCAAGCTAGGAGTAGGGGTACCTTGGATCAGACGGGGACGGGATTTCCACACAACACTACGAGGGAGTTTCCGAAAATGGGGGGGTACCTTATTTTGGGGTCCTTATAATAAGGACCCTATTATTTGGGGTGCTATATTAGGGTTCCCTATTCTCGGAAACTACGAGGCACCGCCTTCTTGCGCAGCTTCAAAGCGCGTGCTCGGCCCTGCTTCCCACGCACGTGCGCTTGGATCTTCGTGGCCTGGGCACGTCACTCCTGAACCCCCCAGGTACCTACTATATATATAT